TTTTTTTTGGGGGGGGGAGGGTGTTGATTGTGGGGCTTGAACTCTGGGCCTGAGTGCTGTCCCTCAGCTCTTCAGCCCAAGGTGAGTGCTCTGCCACTTGAGCCACAGCGCCACTGCTGGTTTTCTGGTGATTAATTGGAGATGAGTCTCCCGGACTTTCCTGCCCGGGCTGGCTTTAAACCACAATCCTCAGATCTCAGTCTCCTGAGAAGCTAGGATGACAGGCGTGAGCCACTGGCACCCTGCTTCTTCAGGGCTTTTCTGCCAAGACCGGCCTGGCATCACACTCCTGACCCCGGCCTTTTATGTGCAGGATGACAGGCTTATGACTGTGCCAAGCTATTGGTGGGGGGAGGGGGAAGGGAAGGTCTGAGAAACTTTTTCGTCTGGCTGACTTGAACCCCAATCTTCCTGACCTCAATCTCCCAGAAAGCTAGAATTACAGCCCTATGCTAAGCTAACCTGTTCTGAGTTTTATCTTTCACATGTAGATATTTTGAAATTTGAAAACTCAGCAAGACATAGCTCGTTTTTCTAAGAGGAGTCAAAGCAAAACAGCTTTACGTTTTCAGGTTAGAGGCAAAGCCTTTCTGTGCACAGTGGGACGTAGCTACTATATTAGCACAAGCGGCATTTTTGTAGTGCTGTACGTGAATTCTGACACAGAACCTGCTTTTCTCCTCTGTGCAGGTGCATCGGCTGGTGGTGGTAAATGAAGCAGACAGCATTGTGGGGATTATCTCCCTCTCTGACATTCTGCAGGCTCTGATCCTCACGCCAGCAGGTAACTGTGCCAATTTCCCAACGCTGAGGCTCTAGGAAGAGTGGCAGGCAGGCAGGCAGGTCCCTGAGTGCAGCCCTGGAGTTTGCCCCACTCTCCTCCACTGTGAGGCGGCGCGCACGCTGCTTTGTGAACCTCTGTCCTTCGCAGTTTCAAACTTGAAATGTTCTACTTGGTGTTTTTGTTTGTTTGGGGTTCTTTTTGTGTTTGTCCTGTACCTCTCCTGGGGCTTCAGCTCAGGGCCTGGGCACTCTACCACTCCACAGCTCTACTTCTGGATTTTTAAAGTAGTCTCACAGGGCTGGGGAAGGTGGCTCATTGTTAGATTGCTTCCCCAGCATGCATGAAGCCCTGGGTTCTATTCCTCAGTACCACATACACAGAAAAAGCCAGAAGTGGCACTATGGCTCAAGTGGTAGAGTAAAAAGAAGTTCAGTGACAGTGCCCAGGCCCTGAGTTCAAGCCCCAGAACTGGCCAAAAAAAAAAGCCTCACAGATTGTCCAGGCAGGCTTTAGATCTCAGCCTCCTCAGTAGCTAAGATGACAAGCATGAGCACCAGCGCCCGGCTTCACAAGTTGAAATGTTCTACTTGGGTGATAAAAGTCAGTAGAAAATATTCAGAGCAAAGGAGAGGGCTTTATGCCAGTCCAGGGTTTGAACTCGGGGCCTCACTCTCTCCCTTGGCTTTTTTAACGTAAGTTTACATCTCTACCAGTTGAGCCGCAGCTCCATTTGCAGCTTTTTGGTGGTTAATCGGAGATGAGTCTTGCAGACTTTGCTCCTGCTCAAATTGGTTTCAAACCATGGTCCTCAGATGTCAGCCTCCTGAGTGGTCAGAATTACAGGGGTGAGCTGCCAGCTACAGCTATAGACAGAAGGGTTAATGCCTCAGGTGCCACATACTTCGATGGCAGACGGGGTCTTCAAACCAGTGGGGCTCCCTTCCCTTCTGCCTTATTCTTCCTACCCCTCTGTCACCTGGCTGAGCACCAGGAAACCAGCCGGCCTGTGAGGGCCACCGAACAAGGCCCGGACGTGAGGGCCCTGTGCTTTGAACTCTTAAGTGGTGCAGTTGCTGCTGTACTGATTTGTCTTTAGTTCAAAAGTCAAACCCAGATAAAACTCTTCTTATGAGTATTCTACAACCTGAACATCCCCATCCCAAAGCAGCCCCCGCATCTGCCCAGGTCCTAGCTGCAGTTTGGAGGGGGCGCCCAGCAGAGCTGTGACCCACGAGCGGTTATCACAGGTGGACAGCAGCCTCCATATCCCCTGGACCTGGTTGGAGGCGTCCGTGTGGGACCACGCCACAGTTACTGAGTCAGAGATCACTGCCACATCCAATGGGTCCTGGCTGGCCTTTGCACTGGAAGCGAGCTTGAAGCTCACAGTGCTTCCTGGTCATAGGTCAAAAGCCATCGGTAATAGAAGTGAAGGTGAGGTTGTTCACTGAACTATCTGTAGTACCTAAAACTTGAAAGCAACCCAAGTATCTCTCTGAAAAAGGAAAGGTAAATTGGTTTACATTCCTTCTGTGGAATATTATACATCACCAAAAGTGAACAGAGTCACCTTCGACTTTACGGGGTCTTACAAGCAGCACTGAAAGTCACGCTAATGCATGCTGCATGATCCTGTGTAAATGTCCACGCTAGCTAACTGTGGCACCCTCATGCAGATGAAGACCACCTCACCGCACAGGTAGACAGCTAGACACGCAGGACAGGGTCCTCGCTCCCAGCCTGCCCCACGCCAGGGTGCACAGCCCAGCAGAGTCTGCCTTAATGGCAGCTTTCATCCATTCCTTTGCCAAGACTCTGAGCATAACAAACTCCGCCATCCCACCACCAGTCCCCGCCGGCCTGTATGCCACAGGCAGGAGGAAGCTGGGAGGGGAGAATTTGGATTTCCATCTAGACTTGTTATTTCAAAAGTTGTAAGTCAGACTGGCACTGGTGGTTCACGCCTATAATCCTAGCTACTAAGGGCTGAGATCTAAGCACCGCAGTTCAAAGCAGCCTGGCCAAGAAAGTCCATGAAACTGATCTCCATTTAAACACCAAAATAAGCTGGAAGTAGAGCTTAAGTAGTAGAACACCAGCCTTGAACACAAAAGCTCGGGGACAGTGCCCAGGCCCTGAGTTCAAGCCCCAGGACCGACACACACACACACACACACACACACACAGAGTACAAGGTCTTGAGTTCAAAGCCCTAGTACCAGCACACACAAAAAAGTTGTAAGTCATTCTTACACCTCCCACCTCTGTTAGCACAGTGAAGCAGTTAGCTTCACAGATGGAATTTGGGGTGTATGTTACCATAGAAACCCTCCCTGAAAGAGAGGGTGTCTGTACTCTTACTGGAGTGTACACGGGCTGCACATGTGGTCCATGGGAGGCCATGTTAGTCTAAGTCCCACTTAGCCACTGCGATGCGAGCCGTCAGGATGTGAGTGAGGTGAGGTCAACTAGGGAAGTGCTTGCACTTGGGCTGCAGCTCACGCCTATAATCCTCGTTTGGGAGGCCTAGATCAGAGGCCTAGAGGTTCAAGGGCAGCCCAAGCAGACAAATCCTAGAGATTGTCCTGTCCAATTAGCCAGCCTCCAATATAAGTGGGACGGATTCAAGTGGTAGAGCACCAGCCGTGAGTGAAAAGAGCAAGTAAGAACTCAGGGCCCTGAGTTCAAGCCCCAGCACTGGTGAGAGAGCAGGGAGCTGCTGTGGGGGAGGCCTTCCCCGCCAGCCTGGGCAGAAACAGCCTGGCTCTGCTTGCTCACACGGCAAGCGCCGGCCTCACACCGCTCATGCTGGAAGCATGCACAGGCGCGGGCCGCGGCCTTCACTGCAGCAAACACACTCGGGGGGGTTCAGTATGTGTTTTGTTTTATTTTCAGTACTAGGATTTGAACTCAAGGGTTTGTGCTTGCCAGGCAGGTACGCTACTGCTAAGCTATCCCTTCAGTCCTTTCTTGTAGTAGTTTTTTTAAAAAAGAGCCTCAATCTTCCTATTTCACTCTTCTTTTGGGATGACAGGTGCTGAGATGGAATCTAGAGGAGTTTTGACCAGTGCTGGCCTCAGACCGCAGCCTCCCGCATCGCCGGGCTGACCGGCACACAGCACTGGGCCCAGCTATTAGTTGAGAAAGGGTCTCATAAACTTTCCCTGGGTTGCCCTTGAACCACGATCCTCCAGATCTTAGCCTCCCAATAGCTAGAATTCCAGGCATCAGCTTCCATACCCACAAATTTAGAATTCCAAGTAACGTGGACAGAGGGGATAGTGTGGGAGGAGGTGAGGCGTGGAGTGTGGACAGGGTGGGAGGAGGTGAGGCGTGGAGTGTGGACAGGGTGGGAGGAGGTGAGGCGTGGAGTGTGGGTAGTGTGGGAGGAGGTGAGGCGTGGAGTGTGGGTAGTGTGGGAGGAGGTGAGGCGTGGAGTGTGGACAGGGTGGGTCATGTAAGAGGAGGTGAGGCCTGGAGCTGCCTCTTCCACAGCTTTCTGGCCATCCTCCCAAGCCCCCTGCCAGTTCGGAAGAAAGCACTGGAGGGGAGCTCTCTGCAGTTCGAATGAGCCTTGAACCCTGATTTCCCATGTACCTCCAGGTGCCAAACAGAAGGAGCCGGAGACGGAATGAGAACCGTGCGCGTCCGCTCTCCTAGGAGAACTTGAACACACTTTTTCTGGGTCACGTTTTGCCTCATGAACACTGGCTGCAATAGAAGAGAATAAAGTGGCTAAGAATGTATTAGCAGGGGTTAGTGATGGGTATTTTTTTCTCCAGTGATGTCAGCTTAAAAAAGAACGATTTTGTGTGCTTGCAGCTTTCAGGCTTGCATTAAAAGACAGTTTTCAGACCTTCGTCTGAAGGATTTTAAATGCTGTATGTCATTAAAGCCCACTGTGTCCTGAATTTTTTATTATTTTTCATTTCAAAGAACCCCCTGGCATGGAGCAGGTGATGGGCATACGGTGAGCGCACGGCATGTTCACATCACAGTGCCTTATGTCGGGACACAGCAATATGCCAGCCTGCCGCCGCCGCGCCCGCCACACACCCCAGCGCGCGCCTCCAGTCCCCGCGAGCTCCAGTGTGGACAGCCTCGACCCTCGCCAAGCCAGCTTGTTCTCATTACACTGGTCAACCAGTTGCCATTTGCATAGAAGCAGCCCCTTTTTCAGTGAGCTGTGGGTACCTGGGGCCCACGCCTGTAATCCCAGCCCCTTAGGAAGCTGAGGTAGGGAAATCAGTTTGAAGCTAGCGCAGGCAGGAAAAGTCCAAGACAATCTTATCTCCAGTGAACCATCAAAAAGCCAGAGTTAGAGCTGTGCCTCAAATGGTAAAGTACCAGCCTTGAGTAAAATAGCTAAGGGACAATTCCCAGGCCCTGAGTTCAAGCCCCAGTACCGGCACCAAAAAACAAAAACGAAACATAAAAACAAAAAAAAACCTGCAGTGACACATTGAAAATGAGCTTCCTAGTGAACAAAGCTGACTTTCCAACAGCTTTATTTTTTACATTCATGGCATTTTTTTTTACACCTTTTGGGTAAACTTCCCCATATCCATTAATAATAAAGTCTTGGTGGCTTTAAAATGGCAAACTTATTATTGACATTTGTACCTGGAGAAGATTTGACCTGCGAAACAGCCACCGCCGAGCAGGAAGGAAGCGGGGCCGGGGAACGAAGGGCCAGGAAGAGAATTGGGGTTTTTTTCCTTGTGTATTGAACTGTAAAATCATGATGTCTGTATGACTGCTGAGATTGTCTGTACATTTTACTGTGGCACACACAGTATTGTCACATTTGAAGCAAAATGATGTTTCCTAATGTAAGTGCTCTGAAAATGTGGACACTGTATATATCTATATATCTATGTATATGTATGTGTGTATGTATATGTGTATATATACATGCATATGTATGTGTGTATGTATATGTGTATATATACATACATATGTATGTATACACACACACATATATATGAGGCGAGTTTGGGGTTTTGTTTTTTTGTTGTTTGGGGGGGGATTCTTTTTTTTTGGATTTTTTTCAGATTGAAAATTAAAATGAATCCTGCTACCTACCAGCTTGTTAAAGAAGTTCTTTAAAATACCGTGTTTCCGCACGTATACATCAAATCACTGCATGGACTTAGATTCTCCCCAAAACAAACAAACAAAAAAACACAATGAAGCCAGCTGCTGGTGGCGCATGCTTGTTATCCTAGCTACTCAGAAAGCTAGGATCTGAGGATCATGGTTTGAAGCTAGCCTAGGCAGGAAAGTCTGTAAGACTGTTCATTCCAATTAACTACCAAAAAGCTGGAAGTTGAATTGTAGCTCAATTGGTAGAGTGCTATCCTGGAGCAAAAGAGCTAATGGACGGCATCCAGGTCCTGAATTCAAGCCCCAGTAACCAGCACTTGCACACACACACACACTAAATTCTCAGCACCTTTGCCCCACTATCAGAAAAAGCTTCCAAGGGGCTGGGGATGTACCTGAAGCAATAAAGTGCTTGTTTAGCAAGAATAAAGTCAACAAAAACATCTTTCCTTAACTGTCTCTGGTTAAATTGGAACCTATTTAAATTTTCCAGATCATAGCTGAGAGGCAGTGGGAGGAGCATCCTGGTTCAAGGCCCGCCCGCCCCGACGAACAGTGCATGGTGTTTGTCGTCCCATCTGCGTGGGAGGCAGAGGTAGGAGGGTCTCCAACAAATACCACTGATGTAAAAAGAAGCAGGGACATGGCCCAAGTAGTACAGCATCTGCCTAGTAAGCAGGAGGCGCTGAAGTTCACATCCCAGTACCACCAAACGTGCTCCAGAAATGGGAGACACTATTTTGCATTCTAATATCAAAGAAAGGGACCTGATATAAATTTTACTGAATAAAGTTTCTTACAGCATTTTACTAAACATCCAAACCACAGACCTCTTCCAGCCAGAAGATACCCTGTCTGCAGGCAACACTGGCTGTCACCAGAGAGTGGGGACTGCGACTGCTGTGGAGCTGGTAGAGGCCCCAGAGCCACTGGCAAACGTCTGGTAGGAAAGCAGTCTTTGTGGGATGGGAAGGGAGCAAGAGGCAGTGGAAATGAGCTTTCAGCCCTGGCCACAGACTCCTCAAGCATTTGCCCCCTGAAGGGCATTTTGCTTTGCTAATAGTACTCTCGGGACTTGGTTAGGAATACTCAGGAAGAATTTTACTCAGTTGTTGTATTTGCATAAATACAGAACAGGCTGCAAAACTCAATTTTCACATAAAATTGTCTTCAAGGTTCCTAGCATCCCTCAGCGGGTACTGAGGTGTAGAGTGGATGAGAGATTGCCAAGGGGAAGGAGAGACCTTTTAATAGGGATAAAAAATGGCAGACATAAAGTGGCCATCACAGCATTGCTTCTTCCCCCTCAAATGCTTCCCATAATGCCCTGGGCGCCTACTCAGCCAATGGAAAGAGCCAGAGCAGCTCACGCATAAGCCACTAAGCAATCAGTGCAAAGCCCAGGAGAGGAGACATGGGAGGAGTAAGTGGGCCTTATCATTCTGCTTCCCACCGTCCACCATCACAGGTCCTTGAGATCCAGGCGTGACAAGCAGGCCTGGTGTCTGGCAGAAGGGAGAGTGACCAGGGAAAGTTTCAGCAAGGGTTTAGTATCCCAAAGTTAACAGAGGGAGAAAAACATTTCCTGCTCCCCAGGCAGAAAGTGGGAGTTAAAGAATCAAAATGGCAGCTCTTCAACCTGCTGCCTTTATTCCTTCTGAGCTAGGGGTGATCACATCTAGTGGCCCTCAACCCGTACACAACAGTTCTGGGTAAGGCTGGGTGTTAACTACTCTAAAATAGGGCAACAAGCCAGGCGTTGGCGGCTCAGGCCTGTCATCCTAGCTACTTAGGAAGCTGAAATCAGGATTGCGGTTCAAAGCTGGCCTGGGCAGGAAAGTCTGTGAAACTCCTCAGTGAACCACCAGAAAACAGGAAGTAGCGCTGTGGCTCAAGTGGTAGAGTTACCTGCCTTGAGCTGAAGAGCTGAGGGACCGCCTAGGCCCAGAGTTCCAGACTTAAGACTGACCAAAACAATGAAATGTGATGTTTCCAGACCTACCCAAAACAGGGACCTTAGGGAGCTGCTGTGCTGTTTCCTCAGATTAATTCCCTCAGCTGTATGCACTCTGCACGGAGAGCTGCCAGGTTTTCAAAGGACAGAGCAGTTTAGATAGCTAGACTTCTGGTCTGTAGACCTTGTAAAAGTGGAGGGAAGCTTAATTGCTCCGCTAGTTGCTTGCAGAAGTCTAGTCTAACCCTTGTTATATTTATGTAAATAACCTCATTTCCCTGTCTCCACCCTTTTCTCTCCCTGGACTCCATCCTCTCGCACTAAACACCGTCTAGCTTGACAAAGGCAGTGGAGCTCTCCTTGTCAGCTCTGGGGCCCCTCCAGCTCCTCTCTGCAGGGAATTCTGGGAGAAAACCAGGTCCCCAAGACTCACAGAAAGTTCAGCTTTCCACACCGCTAGCTCAGGACCTGAGAAGTCACCCAACCCCATCTCTAGTCTCGGCTGTGATTTTTCTCCTCCCTGACAAAACAAGCAACAAAAAACACCTGGTTTCTGCTCAGCTGTGCAAATGCACCAATGCCCATGCGCACAGCCCAGGCCTGGACGCGGTCAGCGAACAAAGCCTCTGGGGACAGGGCCTGGGGCAGCTTCGCCAACGAATGGCTCCCCACATTTGTTCCTTCTCACCACTGGACACAGAAAGAGGGGTGAGCCCAGCCACCGTCACCTCCCCTCCCCCGAGGTGTCCACACCAGCGCCGCGCCCTCCCCCCGCCAGGACCTGCATCCAGTCCTTCCACCTGCGTGAGTTCACTTAAACTGCTCCGTTTCTGTTTCCCCGAGCGCTGGGCCAGACGCCTTCCCACCTGGAGCTGCCTCAGGGCTGCCCTTCAGGTGTTGCTGGGCCACTCCCTTCTCCACGGTGCCCCTCGGCCTGTGGGGCAAGCGCCAGGGCCTGAGCAGAGTCCTGGGCTCCGAGGGATGCCACTTCCACCTCAGGAGGAAAGGTGAGTGCTTCAGGCCCAGCCGAGGAGGGCAGGAAGCCTGTGGCAGTGCGAGTCAGAACAAGGGCACAGAGCGCCCACCGGGGCCTTCCAGGTGGCCTTCCACACCTGCCTTCTGCCTGCAGCCCCAGGTGGCTTCAGTCCTGCTTGCTGACGGGGCATAGCTCTGTGTGTGTGTGTCCCCTTGAGTCACACCTCCGCTTCCAGCTTTTTGCTGATTAATTGGAGATAAAACATCGTGGACTTTTCTGCTCAGGCTGGCTTCTAACTGCAATCTTAGTCTCCTGGGTAGCTAGGATTACCGCATGGCCTGCAGGAGGCTCATTTTCTGCACAGGTGCTCAAACATGACCTCCTGTCACTCCCACCAGTGGTACAAAGTGGAGAGACTGGCACCCTGAGTTTTCTGTGATTTTTTTTTTTGGGTCAGTCGTGGGGCTTGAACTCTTGGCCTGGGCGCTGTCCCTCAGCTCTTCAGCTCAAGGCTAGCGCTCTACCACTTGAGCCACAGCGCCACTTCTGGCTTTTTTTTCTTTTTGCTTATGTGGTGCTGGGGAATCGAACCCAGGGCCTCAGGCATGCAAGGCAAGTGCTCTACCACTAAGCTACCTTCCCAGTCCCTTCTATGATTTTTCAATATCCTTCTCTTGTGTTCCTTTGAAATGGCACTAAATGGTAGGATTTCTAGCAAAGCTTTCCATGGTCTTCAATCAACTTTAAGCCAGATATGGTGGTATATTCCTGTAATCCCAGCACATGGGAGGCTGAGATAGAAGGATTCTAAGTTTGAGGCTAGCCTAAGCTTCATAGTTCAAGGCCAACTTGAGCTATTATACAGAGCTCTGTCT